TCAACTAATCTGAATCTCCTAAATTAGTACAGCCTTCTGAGATATCGGTGGGTTTTTTTTGTTGTCGAAAATCCCGTTTACATTGAAATTAAGTGTAATTAAGTGAAATTAAGTGAAATTAAGTAATGATCAAATCCCAGCATTGCCTTATAAGTAACGATCAAATCTCAGCATTGCCTTATAAGTAATGATCATATCTCAGTATTGCCTTATAAGTAACGACCAAATCCCAGTATTGCCTTATAAGTAATGATCAATTCCCAGCATTGCCTTATAAGTAACTATCAAATCCCAGCATTGCCTTATAAGTAACGATCAAATCCAAATATTGTCTTATAAGTAACGATCAAATCCTAGCATTGTCTTATAAGTAACGATCAAATCCCAGTATTGCCTTATAAGTAACGATCAAATCCCAGCATTGTCTTATAAGTAACGATCAAATCCAAGTATTGTCTTATAAGTAACGATCAAATCCTAGCATTGCTTTATAAGTAAAGATCAAATCCAAATATTGTCTTATAAGTAACGATCAAATCCTAGCATTGCCTTATAAGTAAAGATCAAACCCCATGCCTTATAAGTAACGATCACGATAAGAGTAGCCCAAGAGTTGGCGGTAGATGTTGTTTACTAGGTGCCTTCATTGCAGTCTATCAATTCACAATTAGGGATGGCTATACCCTGAAAACTCTAGGGGTCTTTTAGCCTGGCCGTTTAGCCCACCATGTACATAGGATGAACAACAAACCAATTTAAAAATTTAAACTTCTATTGTCATTTTAACTGAAGTATAAAGTAATGACACTATAATATTTAGTCAAGCAGCAAATATCAGAGCTCTAAGTAACAAGGAGACTCTTGTTAGTTATCTACAACACTAGATTTACTCAAATGTTAAGTGCTTTCCCGAATCATTTTTCATAGCAAATGCTTCAAGGATATTTTTGACGAGACTACAGTGAAGTAGTAGAAATTTCACTCTCCGAATCAGAGGAGTAAGTTTAACTTTAATTAAATTTCTGTTCTTTTGAACTTAGTCTCAACTAATCTGAATCTCCTAAATTAGTAGAGCCTTCTGAGATATCGGTGGGGTTTTTTTTGTTGTTGTCTAAAATCCCGTTTACATTGCAATTAAGTCGTATTACATTTATAATCCATCGTCATTTCGAACTCAACAAGTGTTTTTTTGAAAATCAACCTCAATCGCAGACTTATATAAACTTTGTGATTTTCGTAAAGGTAATGAATATTTTCAAATGTGGTGAAAAAGAATCAAAAAAACTATCATTACCCTCGAAATTTGAAGAGTTAGAATAGTTAAATATTTGAAATGTATAGAAAACTGTGTATGACATTAACTTGTTATTCCCCACCCTCAAAAAATACACCTATAAATAATATAATTAGTATTTTTATTCTGTTACAATTCAAGATAGGTGAACACATATTAGCAGATCGTTTGCATAACTAACTAATTATAGTTTAATTTTCGAAAGACAAAAAAAACACGTGTTTCAACATCATGTGTCAAGTTTGAAAAATATAATTAAATTGACACATATTGCATACAAACATTTTTCATATCAGTATATAACTAGGTCTTGGAAAATGTTATTGGATTTATTTTTTAATTGAAGTAAAGGAAACTTAATAAACAGCGTGAAAATTAAACGTCGAGTACACCTAAATTATTTTCATGAAGTCTTAGGGCCGTTTTAATACTGGTTATTGGATTTGTTCCATAATCTATCCCTTGAGATATTTTTCTTGTTTAAAAAATGGGTTAGGCTTTCAAATCAATTACTACATTATTATTAGCTGTTAGAATAACGAAAAGTAAAAAAATTGGGTATATCGAACGAAACTTTTAAGTATTTATCTATTAATTTGATAACTACCTAATTAATAACATCACTCAACATCTTGCAAACTATTTCAGTTAAAGTACTGGAGTTTGAACCATATAAACCACAAAATCATTGATAATACCTTTTGACAAAATCGTTGCTGTCCTTGATCGGTATCCCATAAGTCTGTTAATAGATAATACTGAATTGTTAAAACAGTTTTTTAGTCGAATTTTACGAGTGTGTATTATATTAAAATTAAAAAAATAAAACTAATTCAAAAACTTCCCAAATAAAGATCTTCAGATTTTAACATTTAAATATAGAGCCTTAGATAAAATATAGATATAACGATTTTTGGCTCACGTTAACTTGAAAATGAAACTTTGTAATTAATTACAAACGAAATAATGTTGATAATATTGGACACTTGTTAATAGAAAGAACCCAAGCACTGTAAAGATAGAGAGTGATGGAACATTTACGGCCTATAAAGTATGATTTTTGTATCATATCTTAAGCCTCGTATAAAATTGATGAATCTCCTGAGGTTGTTTGAATAAGAAGGGCCAATAGTGATTATTAGACAAGCTGAGACTATTAATTACATTTTGTATACTAAAAACTATAAAGTGATAGGCATAGCATTCGGCACTAAAAGTTTTATCCGTGCCATTTTTGAGGTAGTAACGCCCTAGAACTCTGGATGTGAGTGACAAGTGCAAATTAATTTAACGGAAGAAGCCGATGAAACGGCTTGGAACAGAGAGAACATTGTGAGTAATTAATTCTTACGAAATATATATGATTAAGTTCTAATTAACATGAAGTTCGTGATCTTAGTGAAATAGGAAGGTCTCCACTTCGTCATTTTACAAAGGCGTGTAAAAAAAAACTTGATAAAATCCATTTTATGACAGTAACCATATTTTATGTGAAATCTAATGAAGAGATTATCCTTTTCATTTCTATTTAAAGGTAGATAGACAGATGAATGGGTGGATTAACGAGGCTTTCTAGAACCAATCTTTCTTCTATTCTAGCATAACTAACTTTTCAATAAACGGTACTCGCGCCTTACTTTATACAGTATTGTGTAACTTAAAGTAAATTATTGTTTTTAGGGTATTTGTTTGACACAGAAAGAAATGAAACAAGCGAACGAAGGATGATATAATCATCCTGATTCTTAATGCATAAATTAAAATTGCAAATTAAAAAAAAGAGCCTGATTAAAGAGCCTGTCTATGTACGTATCTTCCAGTTTATAGCCGCGAGTGACAAATTGTGGTTTATGCTTGAGCTGTACTCTTTTGTCGACTACTTCACCATTCCGCCGTCCTTTGTCTCCATTTATCTCGACCGAACGTGGATAGGTAAGCAGTGATTTAGTTCGATTTTGTTGCTGTTTTTTGTAGAAGCTAGAATTGTATCAAACACAAAGTGACTGTTTCTTTTAAAAAAAAACAGGTTTTATCTAAGCTCTATATTTTGACTGGCAGCCAAGTATGAAGAACAATCTATATCTCAAATATCGCAGTAAGATCCATTGAGCATGTTAAGTCGGACGAAATACAAGCCATTTTCTGGAGTCATTTATTGCTTTTCCGAGAAAATAAACGGAAGAAGATTCTATCGATTTGAAAATATCATCTTGTGTTTAAATAATACTTCGATAGAGAAGAGATATTGTTGAAAGTTAATGGTCAGAAAGATCTTTTGACAGAGGTCGTTTTATTGCAATGATCACTAACATCGTTTCTATTATTTTTAAACTTTACCTAGCTTATTGTTTAACATATTCGACGAAATAAATCCAAGTAGTTATTGCTCAGATATGTTTAATGTTCAAGAGTAGGAAATATGGGGCTGCTTTGAAATCTACAATAAATATTAAAAAACAGATTACCAAAGTAAGTCTAGTAAGAAATACTGATTGATCAAATATATTCCAACTGTATATCTTATTAACCATGCTTTGAACCAATGCTTTTGTTTCTTCTACATTTTTAATCGTTCACTATGATTTAGTAACTCCCAGTTCTCAAAAATTCCCACCCCGAATGGCTAAGTGGTAAATCTTCGTGCTTATAACGCTAAAAACCTGATTTCAATACTGGTGATGGGCACAGCACAGATATCCAATAGTTTAGCTTTGTGCTTAAGAACAAACAAACAAACCCAAACATGAAATTCAAAAATACAAGCGCAGATATTGTTTGCCTGTTTTATGTCCCCTGGTAGGACAGGGGTAAGTCTACGGATTTACAACGCTAAAATCTAGGGTTCGATTCCCCGAGGTGAACACAATAGACAGCCTCATGTGACTTTGCTGTAAAACAAACAAACCTAATCTATAATACTGAATAGAAATACACTTGTTAAAAAAAAATGTTGGAAAGAAGATTTAGTTAAAATTAAAACACAAAGTAACGGTCGTTTTCCAAAATCTTTTAAGTTCGTCCACTCCGCAACTATAGATGAACCGATAATTTTGGTGGTCGATTGAAATGTCATTATTTTATACCAAGTTGCTTTTCAATGTCTAAAAAACATGAAGTGCGTGCTGTATTATTACCAGTGTTAAGATTTCGCTCATAGCAGTGTGGGAAACTATTTACTCTTGATGTTGTGGGATTGCGTGATGCCTCTGTAGCTGAATACCATGGGAATCTTAAAACCCTGAACAGCAGAATTTGTATTCGTAATTTTTTTTTCGATGAATATATCTACAGATATCTACTGTGTAGACAAAAGATAAGGAGATATTCACAAAGACTCTACTTTGTTAAACGTTGTTTGTTTGTTTTCTGTTGTGAAAGATAGTACTAATTCCTTTATTACATCTAACTTGTAAGATATCAAATATAAGTATACCTACTATTATAATATAATACTTTAGTCAGGTTTTTAACACGTAACTCTGAATTATTAACTCTATTACATAGATATTTGAAAAAGGGAAGCCAAATTTTGTCACAACAATCCAAAAACAACTCTTGTACCTATGTATCCTACGCTATAACTTTTTCTTTGCTACCATTTGGAAATAAAAATGATCGAACTTATCTTTTCTTTCTAGGTCTACGGTTTTTGAGAGCCCTCCGATTGATCTCGGTGCCCGATATTTTACAGTATTTGAACGTGCTCAAGACCAGCAGCTCTATTCGATTAGCTCAGTTGGTTTCCATAGTGATCAGTGTATGGCTTACAGCAGCTGGGATCATTCATTTGGTAGGTTGGAGGTTTGGTCCGCATCAATACTTCATTAGATGTTCAATTCAAGTAAAATGTTAAAGGCATCACGTATATAGACAGCAACTCTTCATACAATTGGACAGGCGTGGTTGCGGTCTTACTTTGAGCTAAGTGCGCTAAAAAATTGTCTTTTATTATTCCAATATTAGCTGGAGCTTTGTGGACTTTAAAGAATTATGGAACGTTCAGAAAATGCAAAGCTGAAAACAGTTATTTTAAAATTTCTATTACTTATGTGCATTGGAAGCAATGTTTCCGTCTCATGGAAGACATTCGTTAATGAGTAAAAGAAAATCGGGGTATATAAAGTACAAGAAACACAAAAAGTTTGGAATGGCTTACATTTTCGGAAAATAATATGCTCTTTTATACATATTTTATATCTGAAATCATTGAGATATTCTGAGTATTCTCTGATCGTGTATGCCATTTATACTTTTTATATTCTGAATCTACAGCAAAAACCGATCTTATTGGACTGTACATGTAACAGACTAGGTTAAGATAAAACGCGTACAAATCGAGAGCAAGTTGTTCCTTACCTTTTTCATTAAAAGTGTAGGTAGATCAACTAAGTCTCAATTATAATCCAAAAATAATCACGAATTTTACATGCGTACTTACAAAAGTACTACTATTGGTGACAGAAAATAAATTTCAGCTTAACTTAAAAAAAATAGATTTTTTCCGAAATACTTTAATTAAAATAATTTTTTCCTAATTTCAGTACTCAATTATATTATGAATAAAATAAACATGCCACGGCATTCAAATATGAAATACACGTTTTCTACTAAGTAGGCATACGATTATATTATGACTACTAAAGCGTTGCAATCTTTTAATCTATTGACAGATAACGTAATATTGCGAATGTACACCTAGTTTTCCGCAAAAATAGAAAAAAAAATGTACTTATGAGAAGTTTTATCATATAAAAGACGCATTAGCAGATACTGATAAACAACTGAGAGTTTGGCTGCTAAATCTAAGATAAAACACAGACAAAGAAGTGAAAATTTCGATTTAATAATATTCCAGATTTGAACTATTATTTTGCCAATTTTGGTATTGTATCAAAATTTAAAAACTAAAATTCACATATCAATGAAAAAGTCACTTGACCTAAAGGAACCAATAGTAGCTGTAATATCATACGTATTTTTCAATACGTATAAAATATCTTTAATTGAGGTCAGCAACGAATGTACGAAAAAGTGCTTTCAATACCTTTCAGGCTGAGTAATATATATTTATTCCTTCTTTATTCCAGTTGGAAAATTCTGGAGACCCTTTGGAGTTCGACAACCCGCATAATCTTTCTTACTGGGAATGTGTTTACTTTCTAATAGTGACCATGTCTACAGTGGGATATGGGGATATTTTCTGCAAGACTACCCTAGGCAGAGCATTTATTGTATTATTTATTTTAGTGGGTTTGGTAAGTTTCTTCTTTTATGTATTATATATTTGCTCTCAAGAGCTCTGCCATTATAGTTTATAAAACTGTAATTGCCAGGTTAAACATAAATCAAAATAATATTTCTAACACTTGCATCTAGTTTTCGTTATGAGTTTTTTTTTTATATATATAATTATACGTCGATAAATTCTTTTGTTTGATGTTATTTAATTACTGTTATGCACAACCATCATGTCAAGTGTATATCGTAACTTGCGCCAGTTAAACATTTAAAAGCAGAAATGCATAAACAAATCTGACCCAGAAGAATTTCAAACAGTTTCTAGTTGTATGCAACAAGCTGCAGTTTAAAGTATTCCCAAGTTTTGATTACATGCGGAGACAATGCTTAATTTTCAGGATTTAAGTTTTGTTTTCGATTTAAATGACAATCACTTGGTGTGGATGTTGTTTATACACACACACATCACTTTTATACGATCATTTTATTATATTATACCAATTGTGTGATTTTTCGTATACAGTTATTTAGGTAACAGAGGGATTTCTGTTATACTTCTATTTTAAATTCTTTCGTTGTTGAAAATTATTTTGTTTTAATATTAAAGTTGTATTCAATTATATGTAAGATTTATTAATTAGTGTTTTTAAAAGACAATATCTAAATACAGAAAGTTCTAATACCTGTAATTTTTAATATGCAATATATATATATATACCTTAATATAAAAGATGAAAATCTACCATCTACAACCGCCAGAGGGCTAAACGAAAGTGGAAGAACCAATAGCAGTACGCTAGACCTTGAAATGCAATAGTTATATTTCTCGCGTGAAAATAGTCAATACATTGAAGAAGCTTCGACAAAGAAGCTATCCTTATTAACTATTGCCCCCCGTTGGCACAGTGGTATGTCTGCGGACTTACAACGCTAGAATCCGGGTTTCGATACCCGTGGTGGGCAGAGCACAGATAGCTTATTGTGTAGCTTTGTGCTTAATTACAAACAATTAATTATTTTCAATATTTTTAAAATAAAAATTACTAATTGATTAATTATTTTTTATATATTTGCTATTGAAATTGTCCGAACTACTTTAAGCTGAACATGCTTTTTTATGGTTTATAAGGAAATAAAATAGATCTAATTACATACTGAACAGTTGACTTGATATCCCACAGACGGCAAAAGTTTATCGAATAATTCCTCCACTGTTCATTTAGCACGCTGGTTCTTAAATAAAAAAAACTTAATATAGATTTTTTCCGTTAAACATTATAAGTTGTTACCGGCAATACCTTTTTTTGGAAGTTTCTGTTTCGCAGTAAGATGGCGTCAATCACCTTTACGATGTGATCGGTGTCTTTATTGTTAGTTTACAAAAACAATGTATCGTGAAAGTGCTACTGGAATATCGATGACAAATGCTTCCAAGTTTTGGTAGCTAAAACTAAAAAAAGAGTAAAGTTAAAATTGCGACTTAAGAATGATTATATTTTCAAAACACAAAGTCGTCTTTATCATCAGGATAAATTTGTATCGTGATGGCCAGTTATCTTTGTAAGGATGACGAGTACGTGAGTGCTATTTAAAATCATTATTATTTTTTATTTAATGCTATGAAATTACTGTTTTTATATATATATTCCTTATAATCAAAGCACGTATACCCTTTTTCTCATACAGCCCTTTAGAATGCTTGCACAGATTTTTTGCACCTCTTCTTTTTTCCCACCGTATTTCCATTTAAATTCGTTAGATTTACATGTATATGAAACTTTATTCATTTATAATCTTTTTTATTACATTTTGCATGATTTATGTAAACAAAATGCGCTTAAGTTGTAACTTTCTAACTTTGATGGTGATATTGATTTTAAACTCAAACGTAGCACTTAGTTTTATGGCTCATTACAGCAGAAACTTGGCTGTGCCCGAGCTTTGGTTCCCAAATGGCAATCCTTTAGAGACGCCTTATCCGTTTTGGCGCATAGTGTTAGCTCTAGAAATAGTTGTAGTAGTAGTTGACATTGTCCATGCTTGTTTTAACTTTTCCTTTTCTCCTGTATTTTCCACACTTAGGCCGTCTTTGCCAGTTGCATTCCTGAGATCCTAGAGTTAGTAGGAACTAGACCCAAATATGGTGGCGAGTACAGACGGGAGCATGGTAAAAGGTACAGAATAGTAACTCCCTTTAAGTCTGGTGTGCGCTGGTGTAAACGCATGAGTGTGTTAATGGCCGCTAGAGGGAGTCTGTTCTCTTCTATAACTGTGACTGTGGCTCCCCCTGGCTGTTTGTCTTCTATCTAAACTCGAAATGACTGTGACTTTTCATCCTGCATCTTTTAATTCACTCTTGATGGTTAACTGCTGCTGGCAAATCAACCGATATAACTACTTTATTCATATAGATGGAATTAGCTAAACGAAAGTAAGAAAACAAATCTATTATTGCATAAAATAAATATATACTTTTAATAATATATATTTATAAATTGTTTTTGAAATTTGATTTTCTAAATTCCATAGGTAAAAACCACGTGTAATGTTAAGAACTGTTAAAATTTTTATAAGAACTCAATCACTATATATGAAAAAATAATTCAAGTAGGAAAGCCAAATGGCTACTAATCAAAGCTACTCGTTGACACTGACTAAGATTGGTTATTGGCAAACTAGCCATTAAAATGGAAAACGCTAATCACATTAAGCAGAATAGGTTAGGTATATTATTCAAGTGGTAGGCTTGAATCAAATAAAAACAATGTTTAGTCGGTTAATGTGCCAGCAGTCATCGTTTGTGGCGCTGCTTTTTGTGATGACGCATGACATGTGTTGACACGTCATCCCTGTGCTCCTCACGCCCTCTATAGGCTGTCTTCGCAAGCTGGATTCCTGAAATCACAGAGTCGATCGGTCATCCATCCAGGTATGGCGGGGCTTTCAAGCAGGAACGCGGAAAGAGGTATTGTCGTAATGTTGTGACGTAATATGTTCAAGGTGTTTTTTTGTAGACCTAAATGCTGTTTCCCTTTTCCTTTTTCCCTCTCCCTTTCTCTATCCCTCTCTTTTGCACGTATCTCATATACTTTCTCTGCACCATTGGCCTCCAACTTGTGCACGTTGATCGTCTGTTGACCAATGGTAGGCAGTGTTTGCTGGCTGTATCCCGGAAATCATTGACCTAATTGGCTCCCGACCAAAATATGGCGGAACTTTCAAGTCTGAGAGAGGAAGAAGGTAATGTGCATAAAAAGATACTAGATGGTCTTATGATAAAGAAATCACCTTGCTGTAGAAATGATTAGCACACTAATACTATAGTACATATGCCCTTAAGTTCGAAATAATTCATTTTAAAGCTAAATTTTTCAAAAGTTCCTTTTAGTGTTTTTGCTTTCAATCATATATTTTTCCTTTTCCAACTTTATTTAATAGCGATTTGTAACTTTTCAAATAACTTTCAAAGTAGTCTAGCATTATGTGTTTTATCTCAGAGCTAATACTTTTAATGCTAGAAGTTCATTGATTATAAAGTTTTCTCTAAACGTTTGATTGAGAGGGAGAGAGATCTAGCTTAAAGCATCTGTTACATTTTAATATTATAATTAATGCCAGTTAAAATGGATAGATAAATAATTATTATACTTTGGTGCTTGAGAAGAAAACGTGCATCGTCAAACGATCCTTTCCTGAACCTGATTTTAAGATCAATTTCTCCTTGAAATGATCTTCTAACAATTTAAATAATGAAATATTTCTCTGTTAAAGCAAGAAATGCATTGAATAATTAATCTATTTTATTTTATAAGGATTTTGTTTATTGATAACAGTATAAAACATCCCCCCAACACCCCCACAAAAAACAAATTAAACTACTGTGATTTTAGAAATACTATAAACTAATAGATACATAGAGTCAAATTACTATTTTATTGATTTTTTATTTATCATTATTTCGAGGTATAAGTAGTAATGAATGTCCGCATCCAACTATAACAATCCAGTCGAAGTAATATGTTTAGCAACAGTAGAAACTAACTGTTTTTTATTTCTCTCTCTAATTGTTATCTTCAAGGACCTTTCAATGTTTTAACACAACACATTTAAAAAGAGATGTGTTATAAAATAACACAAATATTTTGTTATTTTACATTACAAATTGTGTTCTACAAACTCATACTTGATGAACTATATTACAATTAAAGTAAACGTACAGGTGTTTTTATTTTCTAACGACGCACATGACGTGTGGTTTTCAATGGAAAAATTATGTTTATTTTAAGTGCATTGTTGTGTTGTGAAGTCACATTTTTATCATGTATATGTTTAACACAAAATACGTGCATCATTCAACACATACGTATTCTATTTTATTAGCCGAAAGTGACTGTTTTGTAACCAGTTGTAGCTATTCAAACACCAGACCTGTGTTCCAAAGAACACGAGTTCTAAAAGTAAGATTGCATCCTGTTATTCGGTTAAAAGTAGTCTTATATAAAACAAAAGTTGCTGACTAGTTGCCCTCCTTCTGGTTAGTAGTTTTAAATTAGACACTTTTTTTTTACTTCTGTAAACTCCCAGTGGAGCATAGGGCCGCAACAACACCTCGCCAACGGAAGGTGTTGTTGCAGTTACTTGTAGCAGGTTGGTTTTTACGGGGTGGAGTTGCTAGCCTCGCGCCAAAAATTAGACACTGTCATGCCTAAACCTTAGGAACTCTGACCTGGTCACTTAGTCCATTTGTCAGGTAAAATTCTATTCAAGTTGAAGATACTCATACTATCAGATCAAGTACTTGCAAATGATTAATACTTTCAATGAATTATAGTACAATTAGCACAAAATTCAATCGCAGAACACATATTTTAAAAAATTTTCCTGACCCCTAGCATTGTCATATTTTTTGTATACCAAAGTGTGCTTTGCACACTATTCTGAGTTGCCTGACCAAACCAAAATTGCTTCCTCCACCCCTGAAGAAAACAGTGTAGAAGTGTGATAGTCAAAGAGACTATACCAAAAATTTGAGAATTTTTTACATAAATGGAAAAAATTAATGATTTTGCACAAAAACAACAACAAACAGAATATAAATTTATACTTGTTTGTTTGCTATGCATATTTTTAAAAGAGCGTTTTTCCATTACGCAAAATGTATAAAAATCTACTATGTTATAATTAAACATTATAATTACATACGTCATTAATAAGAAAATATACGATGTTATGTTTGTCATTAAAAGCAAATTTCGGATCAATATTTGAAAAGAAATGCATCCAATTCTTTGATAGATAGTTCAGACAGAATATTCATATTGAGTTAACTGTGAAATAGGCGGCAATTGCCTATTTCACAGTCAACTCAAATACATGCAAGTTTCAATTTCTTTCGGCTTAGATGTTGGTTTAAAGTATTAATTTTTTAACTATATGAATTAATTAGTTATATCAAGCATCTTTGTATTCATATACGAATTAGCATACAAATGTAAATCGATCTTATTATAATTTTTAATTGAAATTGTTATATTAATAGTGTTGATACTCAAAACGAATTAACATCTGGAAATAAAATAAAACGCTCCAAGATTGTGCAATCAGAAATATAACATATGCATATCTGAACTCGAATAACAGTGAAAAAAGTTCCTTAAAAAATACTCAAGCAAATTTCAATTACAAGTATATTAATTTGAATTTTTTTTAGACAAAATAAGAAAGCTAATTACACTGAAAGAAACACAAACCTGCTATCTGCTACAATGTATTTCTTCCGTTCGTATGCGTGTCTGCATAATGTTTTGTCAAAAACTTATAAACTACACACTGTATTCTGTTAACATATATATATATTATACTGATAAAACAGATTGCGTGTTTTGATATCTTCTACATCCGGTGTAAATTCTAATTTCTTTAAACGAGTCAAAACTTCGTACATTCTTCTTAGATTTATAAATTTTGCATAAAGTTTTATAATATCGTTAACTATGGCTTTTGTTTGAGAAGTATTACTGCTTTTACAGTCAGTATATACTCGCTGAAGAGATCGATTTTATAAACAGGAAGAGATTTGAAAATGACTAGCTAGCACAAGCGTATTTACAATGAAATTAAACGCAAGCCTGTAGATATATAATAATCAAAGCACTGTGAAAACCCTGATACCCACCTTTGAACAAATATTATATGTACTTTTTTATTCTGACATTTTAAAACATAATTCTCTCATCAGCTCTCCAACGTCATGTATGTAAAGTATTCATGCTTTCTTATATACCTGCACCTGTGACATAAATTCACTTTAAAATAGTTAAGCCTACCTATAAGAGTCAGTGAAACTAGATGAATATATATAAGGGTTTTTCAGAAACAATGTAGGCTGCATAGTACTTAAAAAGAGGTTTTATTTAAAACTGATCTGTGTTTTACTGTATTTACCACATAAAATGTTAATCTGGCTGTACTTGTATTTATTAGCAAGAAAATTACCTATGTACTTAAGATAATACAGTATTTATTAAAGAAATATATACATACATATATATATATATGACTTTTATATTTATTTTTCCATGTTTAATTTTCTTTTAAATAATATAACAAGAAGCGACATGGTGTATTTTGAAGCCTGTATTGTATATATCTAGGTAAGAAGTGTTTATGTCTTTCTGTTGTAATTCAATTTTTTCTAAAGACACATAGTGGTCTGTGGACACATAACATTTGAATCGGTGTCTCACTTTCTGACCGACTTTCTGCATGAAGATAGAGAAGACGTAGATGTGGAAGTTGTTTTCTTACATAGGTAAGTAGTTTCATACATACCTGGTAAGTCTCAAATGAGGTTAGAATCATACTAAATTAAATTATAATATATTACAAGAGTTTGATGTTCTGAAACCACAATGAACCTGGTTTTCACGAACTGGGAAGGTAATGTGGCTAGGTGGCGTTTAATGAGAAAACTTGCGCTCAAGAGTTTTTGTTTTTTATGGTGAGCGTCAACTCCAAGGAACTGTGCATCTACTTCTCGAATTGGAGCTGTTCTTGTTTTATATGTATGTTTAGTGAATGTCGTTTGAGTTGTCATATACTAACCATGGTGAACCTAAACTTATATAGATTTTTGAAGACTATGTAGAATTTTTTTCTCTAGTTAGCCCAGCCAATTTCAGCTACAATCTAATTGTACAGGTCAGTCACCAAAAGACCTAAATTAATTGACATTCATTTGCCAAAACAACTTCAATAACCAATCAGAAGGACACGTCACGACAACTAGACCACTTGCAAAGCGAAGTAAACTATACTAATACGATTTCTGGTATATTTCGATAAAGAGCAGTTATCGAAACAGCACCATTAAAAAAGCTGAATCTGTGTCCTGTAGATTTGCTGATTTATCTGACATAATTATAAATTACATCCAAAGCAGAAGCCTGTATTTCCGTACCTAAACGTTTTCTGAAGCATATATATTTACAGACACTTTCCTAAGTAGTTCATATGTTAAGAAAAGCTGATGTTTGTGAGACTGTTAATTTAGGGTCAACGACGTTCTTTGCCAGCTTTCACTTGCAACTAAATTCCTTAAAGTATCTATAACATAGGTATATTATTCTTCTATTTGTACATTATTTACATAAATATAATATCAAAGAAATTGTTCAAAGTCGTGTATTTAATCTAATAAGGTCGTAGTGATCTTGGTTATGTTTTCAATGAAAACAACTTGATCTCATTTCATATCGGCGATTTTAATATACATTTTAGAATATCATGTTATCACAGCTTTTACCAAAAGTCTACGAACGTGTGAGTTCATGTAGCTCTGACCAAAAGTGAACAAACATGTCGGTTCATGTAGCTCTGATGAAAAATGTACAAACATGTGGCTTGATGTAGCTCTGACCAAAACGTACGAACGTGTGGCTTCAAAAGCGTACAAACACGTAGCATTAGATAACTCTGATCATTAGTCATTATTCCAAGTGTGAAAAGTGCAGGTTCGTTATTTTTGTTTTCAGAATAACGTAAAAGAAAATGTGTTTCCTTCCCAATTAATTAAACATTTTATACTTCTTACAGATGAAACTTAATAAATTGTATATCTTTAGTATATTATTAATTACAACTGGGAGGTGTCGCAAAAGGTTCAGTGATATATAGATGCAACACAAATAAAAACAGATAATATTCTGAATAATAAAAAATATATCATTTTTTGTGATAGACGTAAATGTGTATCTGACTTCAACAGTCACTTTGGCCTCCAAAAACAGAGCGTGTTAAACATATGTTATTGGTAGAAGTGACCTAAACATGCTCAAAAAATAATAGTAGCAATGTTTCATTGTTAAGTGTGCTATACAGAACAGGGCTTCCACAAGATTCTGTGTTGAATTAAGAAAAAACTTTTAAAAATGCAACTATGACGCATAATTGAGTTTAGCAAAATGCTTTTAAACATTAGTTTATGCTAGTAGTGGAATTATACACAAGACTGTCTACGTTTTATTGTAAGAACGGTTGGTTAAATATTGTTGATGCAACATTTTTGTGGATAATAATTGGATATCGACTGCTTCTCGCAGTTTTGTGTTAAACTAATCCTTGTAACAACGGTTGTTTGAATATTGTTGATGCAACATTTTTGTGGATAATAATTGGCTATCGACTGCTTCTTGCAGTTTTGTGTTAAACAAATCCTTGCTACCTTCGTGAAAAGTATAAACTTATTACATTCTACTATCTTAGAAAGTGTCTTAAACTATATGTTTAAACTACGTAGTTGCGCCTGAACAGCGTCGGAAGAATAAGGGAAGATAGAGTTGGTAAAACTGTAGGATGAGTTTATCTGTAGAACTAGTTTGGAAGAAGTGAAAAAAGGGTAGGAATTAATGAGTTAGAGTAGGATGTTTCAGACACGTAGCTCAGCATGGGCGTCGAGGAATCGTGGTCACCTAACGAGGAAGTTGGCTTGCAGGAAGTGATCTAGCGTTGAGTTACATGTTGCAATAGTGAAGGGAAAAAAATCAGGATAGGTGTAAAATAAGTAGTCTCGAAATCAATCTTTTTCTGTGAAACAAAGAAGCACAACTCTGGTTGTTGTTGTTTTTTGTCACTGAATAATGACACATGTCTGTTGACACTTTCTTTACTCACAACGTTTAATCAGGAGCCGCCCATCCCCCTGTAGCTCAGTGGCAAGCCTGAGGGATTATAACACTAAAAATCGGGTTTCAATGCCTGCGGTAGTTAGCGCACACATAACCCATTGTGTAAATTAAATCTGTGCTTAACATCAAACATTTGGATAGCTTGTTTCAGAGCGAAATATATTCTTATTGAGTTTTTGACCTCCTTGGAAAGGTATTTAATACCATTTGTCGCTATTTCTTTTATAATACCAATTATGTGATTTTTCGTATATAGTTATTTAAGTTTGTTTGTTTTGTTTTGAATTTCGCGCAAAGCCACACGAGGTCTATCTGCGCTAGCCGTCCCTAATTTAGCAGTGTAAGACTAGAGGGAAGGCAGCTAGTCATCACCACCCACCACCAACTCTTGGGCTACTCTTTTACCAACGAATAGTGGGATTGACCATCACATTATAACGCCCCCACGGCTGAAAGGACGAGCATGTTTGGTGTGATGGGGATTTGAACCCGCGACCCGCATATTGCGAGTCGAGCTCCCTAACCACCTGGCCATACCAGGCCATTATTTAGGTAACAAAGGGATTTCTGTTATACTTGGAAAGTCATTTAACATCATTTGTCGCCATTTCTAACGAACGTTTGTTTGTAGCGAATCACAAAGCTACAAAATGGGCTATCTGTGCTCTACCAATCACGGGTATTGAAACCCAATTTTTAACGTAATAAGCCTTCGGACTTATTGTTGAGCCACTGTTGAGCTTTAGCTAATTTGCTTCTGTAAGCCATAACGTTTGTTCAGTGACTTTGACTATCGAAGCTACACGATTAACATGTGAAAAGAAAACTTGCCATCAAACTATATTTTGCATGATAGTCTTGCGTAAAAGTTAATTAATGAAATTTTAATGGTAAAAATATATCCTTTATTTGTCGAAAATGCAGTGTATTTACATATACAAGCCCTTGCTTTAAGCAATCTATTGTATTGATGAAAATAAACATCACATAAAGATTGAATAATGTTGAAAAAATATTAATTAATAAAAACGAAATGTTTAATTAACCCTTCTGAATTGATACCTACAATGAAACAAAAACATTTCATACTAACTTTAAAGTATCGGAACGTAACTCCAGAGGTGTGTTTGTATAGAACTCAGAATCGTGTGATTCTGGAAGAGCATTTAAAGCTGTTCTTTAATAGATTATGTAGGCAGAGCATGATTCGTGATATGTACTTCTAAACTGACGATCCGCTTCAAAGAATCTGAAAACTGGCTCAGAAGGTTTTTGTTGTTGTTTAGCACAAACTACACAATGGACTACCTATGCTCTGTCCACCACGGGTACCGAAACCAGGTCCGCAAACATACCGCCGTACCAGTGGGAGGGGGGCGCTTTCAACGAAAACTGTCAGTTCAGAAGTACACAACATTTAAAGTTTTATGAGTTAACTTATTACAATAAGAGCACGTGATACTGTTTTATGGACTGTCAGATTTTAAAAAATAATATTATATATGTATATGGGTTGTGATTTTTTTATAATTGTCGAAATAAATACTTATATTTCTTAATAGTATAAATATATACTATGTAGTTGTTGGGCTTAGGATTCTTCTACAGTAGATATATGTGACTTGGTAGCGATAAATTCAAGATGAATAAACAGCACACACTTTACTTGTTTTCAAATAATATATATATTCGGAACAAGTTGAACGTATGTACAATAACGTATTCACAGTATATAGAGAATATAAGCATATTGTAAAAGTTATATCAGTATATGTTCTCCTCTTCTTGTCAAAAGTCCACTTAGGCCTGTTCAATTACTTTAGAATCTCAGTTGACAAGCCAAACTATGTTCTCTAATACTATCGCAATATTAGTCTGGTGTGATTCACTTACGATTGTGGCCTTCTTTCTTCTGAAGATACTATGTTCCTTTTGTCAAAGTGCAATCAGGCTGATTCATTTACTTTAGAATTTCGCTTTGACAGAATAAACTTATTTTTTTCTTATTTCGTTTTCCACTGTTAGTTTCACTTTAATAAATATATCAAACATTAGGCCTATGTCAGTCGTTAGACCTATTACTTTTACGTTACTTAACTTCACAGGATATTCACTTTGCTTTTATCTGCTTAATACTGTCTGTCTGCTTTTTCCCGCTCGTCTCACGCTATTTATATCTTTATTACATAGTCGTCTATATTCTCGACACCAATTAGTTATTAACAAAACATTCTACAATCGTCTGCTTTTGACTCTTATTATAACAAAACTTAAAAATAATAAAATATTCACTCACAAATATAAATTAATCACTAATATTTAAACCAAACAGTCTTTTATATCATGACATGGACACACATAAACAAAAATAGAAATACTTGTGACCTGAAATATTTATTGTTTGCCAGGAAACCCCCTGATCTTGAGCTGGAGGGTTTGATTAAGCGTCACTTCACTACAGTGGAATTTTTCCAAGGAAGTGTAATGAGCCCCATAGACTTACAGCGTGTGAAGGTGGGTATTACTGTTTTTATTCAGTCAGTATTATTTTATTCGTTTTTGTTAACAAAATATTTCATTAACGGTTTAAACGAACGGTTATCTCCTTGGAAGTCGTTGGATGAATCGGTATTTTGGGATATCATGATAATAATAATAGAAAGTGGGGTGAAGTTAATTTAATCTAACATATTTGTTAATAATAGTGTGTGCACACCAACTGTAAGAAATTTGGGGAACGTGCCCCTTCTGCCCTATGTGTTCGGCGCCTGTGATGTACAGAGCTCTATATATATACATAGATAGATTTTGTGCTCACAAACGTTTGTTGTTGTTTTTTCGGAAGTCTCATTTATATAGAATCAACAGGAAAGGAAGAATGCTACATTTTTTATGTAGGATCAACAGGAAAAGATGAATGTTAACTTTTTCATATAGGATCAACAGGAAAGGAAGAATGTTAACTTTTTTTATGTAGGATCAACAGGAAAAGATGAATGTTAACTTTTTCATATAGGATCAACAGGAAAGGAAGAATGTTAACTTTTTTTATGTAGGATCAACAGGAAAAGATGAATGTTAACTTTTTCATATAGGATCAACAGGAAAAGAGGAATGTTAACTTTTTAGTAGGATCAACAGGAAAAGATGAATGTTAACTTTTTATGTAGGATCAACAGGAAAGGAAGAATGTTAACTTTTTTGTGTAGGATCAACAGGAATAGAGGAATGTTAACTTTTTATGTAGGATCAACAGGAAAAGATTAATGTTAACTTTTTCATATAAGATCAACAGGAAAAGAGGAATGTTAACTTTTTATGTAGGATCAATAGGAAAAGATGAATGTTAACTTTTTATGTAGGATAAACAGGAGAAGAGGAACGTTAACTTTTTCATATAGGATCAACAGGAAAAGATGAATATTAACTTTCATATCTTAGTATTTTAAAATGATAAAAGAATTGTCAATTCTTAGCCCATTGTATAAACTTTCTTAGGGATTGAATATTCCTATTAAATCACTAAATGTTTAATAACATGCACTCTGAAACTTAGAACCCTTTTTTACGTAGAGTTATTATATATATATTTTTTTTAGTTTATAGTAGGCATAACACAACACCATACCATATCACACGAAGTTAAAAATGAGTTAGCTTATTGAATGTGATGTTGAATTTTATGAGTTGAATCAAAAATAAAAATATAGGTAATAACCACAATAAATAATATAATTATAACTACAGAAAATATATAATCAATTAGCCTTTGAAAAGAAAACATTTTTTGCCCCTCGTTGGCTCAGTAGTAAGCCTTAGGTACTTATAACGCTAAAAATCGGGTTTCGCCATCCACATTTTGACATGCACTCTATTTAGTAATCTCTAGTTACGCAGAATGACATAAAGTGACTTCTCTTTGTAACTGTAACCCTGAGTAGAGTAACATTTTCCTAATTAAACACACCTATTAACATTTAATGATAACCTAATTTATTTAATTGTCCCTAAAGCCAGTCATCACATATAAAACACATAACGAGTAAGTTCACTGCAGAATGTAAGTGCCAACTATTACTCTTTGTTGTGTAATTAACTTAGAAGTTATAGATGGCCAAGTTTTTAGAACTAAGTCCCTGCGGTAACAGAGTAGTTTACAGATTAATTGTTTCGTCACGAGTAACGTAAAAGCTGTACCATTCGTGTTTGAATAATATTGATAGAAATCGCTCCAATTTTGACAATGAACCCACATTTCTTATCTGTAACAATTCAGTTAAAATTATGTTCTTAATAGCTCATATTGACTCATTTTTGTCTAATTGTTAATACCTATAAAAAAAGCTCTTAAACAAAAGCTCTAATCTATATTAAACATTTCGAGTTTGTTTTCATATATAACACAACTAATATTTGTGAATAAATATGCTAAATACATGTGTACATTTTGTAAAATAATTGTGAACGGTTTTTACTTGAAGATGGCGAAGCGTGATTATAATTAATTATATTTGTCATTAATTAATTAATTAATTATATTTGTTCTATGACAAATATACTCGAAAGCAATTGGAGATTTGAAAAGATGGACGATTTTTCAGCTTGTTTCTGGCAACCACGTATGAACCAAACTCTTTTGTTTTTACCATATCGTATCGCCCTCTAGTGGCACAGCAGTAACTGCGCAGACTTATAACTCTAGAAACCGAGTTACGATACCCGTGATGGGCACAATGTAGATAGCCCATTGTTAAGCTCATACAAACAAATTATTTCGTATAACAAAGTGTGTATAAGGTGCAACCTCACCGTATTTATCTAAACTAGCAACACTAATAAAAATTACACCTGCTGTAATCACATTTTGCCTTATTTCAATAAGCATATTATCATCAGTTTTTTAATGTTATGTACGTTTTCTTTCCATTTTATACCTTCAAAAAATCCACAAAACGAGCAAGTCCCTTACTCAACAAAGAGTTGTTAAATTTCATTAAGATGTTGTATTTAACTCATCAGAAAGTTTACAACAAAAAACTCCTTCATGCAAATAGTTTTTACATTGATAAACGATTTGTTCAATTATATATGTATTGCCCATTATATTATCTACTACATATAATTTTGAAAATAAAACCTGGTTATGAAAACAAAATATTTCGCACTAAACTTTAAAAGTAAGGCAGCCTATCGAAGAATCGAGGATACGGGTTGATTTATTGTTTTGTGATTAAGTTCAGAGCTACACCAAGAGCTGTCTGTGTTCTGCCCATTAAGGGTGTCGAAATCCGGTTTTAAAGCGGTATAAGTCCGCAGACATACCGCTGTGCCATTGGGGGCGATTTAGTTGTAATTCACTTAATTTAAATAACTAACACAAGGTAATTTCAAACATGTAAATTTTTCTCTCTTATCACAGTTTTAACCTCAGTTCACCGGTGCTGGATTTCTTGTTTAGTTCAGGTGCAAAGTTCTTTATGGCTAATGAAAATGAGCAGTGGCTAAGATTAAAAGAAACATTAGCCATAAAAAACTTTGCACCTGAACTAAACAAGAAATCCAGCACCGGTGAGCTGAGCTTAAAACTGTGATAAGAGAGAAAAAATTCACATAATGTTATTTATGTATTACATTGTACTCGTTGTAAGCAAATGTATGCTGGAGAAACAGAAAAAAAATTACATAAATCTCATGTCAAAAATGCAAATAATAGCCTATTATCTGTTAACAAACACATTAATAAGTGTATTATGGAAAAATATAATACTTTAGAAGAACTTTTTTTCCCAAATATTTCCATTTTGGTATTCTTGTGAAAAGAATGAGATTACTTTATGAAAATTATTTTATTCATAGATTTAAAGCCACGTTACATTTTACATAGTTTAGCACACAGAGTGAGTTTAAAACATATATTAAGTTTAAGGTAATAAAACAAAGGAAGTTTTAGATTGTTAAGTAGGTCTTGTTAGAGATAGCCTTATTTCAGAAACAGAAGAGTGTCCTGGAAGACACGAAACAAGTATTTATGCTTTATATATGTACGTTTTTATTTGTTTGTTTTAAATTAAAAGAAATAAAAAGTTTCTAAAATATTTTAAAGGTATTTTTGTATTGTTTCATTTTTAATAATAACTTCCCTGAGCAAAATATATTTGATTACTTGTATAACAATATATGTATGTATATATGTGTGTATGTGTATGATTTAGAAATTAAATTATGAAAGGATAAAGAGGTTTATCCACCTCACATAATTTGGATAAGTTTTCATTATCTGTACAAATACTGAATATATTTATTTAAACATGGGAAGTGATTTTCACTAATATTTGGTATTATGATTGACTTTTTGACTAAAGTAAAGATGTTTGATCTCACGTTAATTATATAATAATATATGTATGTATGTGTGTATGTATGATTTAGAAATTAAATTATGAAAGGATAAAGAGGTTTATCCACCTCACATAATTTGGATAAGTTTTCATTATCTGTACAAATACTGAACACATTTATTTAAACATGGGAAGTGATTTTCACTAATATTTGGTATTATGATTGACTTTTTGACTATATGTAACAAAGTAACTTTTGGTAACAGCATGTGTTGACAACTTGAACATCTATAGTACAGATCGTCAAAACCTTATGAGTAATGTGTGTGGTATTAAATCGAAATCAAACTGATAAGAATTTAAATTTGATCATTCTTTACGAATCCAGTACTGGGTTTTATTAAAACTAGTTAATAAAAGCACTTCAATTATACTTTGTTTGTTGAATGCTGCTGCTGACGATGCTTTACGCCATTACCAATTCTCATTAAGCCGGATGGATTACAACATCCAAAATCTTATTTGGCGTTTTACACTCATGAAAGACTGATAGAAACCATGTTACAGAAACTACTGTGTATATTGTAATTTATTCTGGTATTGAGCGAAAGTATCTTTATTGATAAAATGTAAAGTGTGGTGGCAAGAGTAAAATATGAAGGAAGTAATATTATGGAAAGTGGCATATGTTAATGATGTTACTGATACAAACTGTTGTAATAGTGCTCATAATTATAACATATAAAAGAATTGATACTTTGAATAGAATTTAATTTCAATTAAATTATTTAATAATAAAAGACATTGTTTTTATAATTTATTTTCAGGCACTTTGTGCTACTATATGAAGAGTAAAAAACGGGAAAAACGACGATTTTTGGCACAATGAAAGATAAAATATTTATTATTACTTAAAGCCGACTAGTTTCGGTAACACAGTAACAGTTTCGGTAACACAGTTTCGGTAACACAGTAAAGCATCGTCAGCAGCACCATCATCAGGGCTAATATCTACAGTGTTAGCTTAGAATATATTCAGCTACAAATCGTTAATGGGTGAGTTCATTTTCAAAAACAAGGGGTAGAAAACAATAATAAGTAAAAATTCATTGTATTTGGAAAACCTTTTGCCGTCAACATACCCCAACATTATTGCTCTAACCACCCTTTACGTCTTGAAACAAATCACTTTTTACACTTGGCGTGCTATTCATATATGTTCTAATATTTCAGATATAAACAGTGAAAAGATGTATTTAAAAGCAGTAGATAGAGGTTATGAACCTATAATTGTCAACAGAGCTTTCCAAAAAATGAACGACAAACAGTTACAAATGAAAAAATTCTAAATTAACTCCATTAAAAACATCTCAAAACAAGTTGATCGGTATACCACTTTTTCCTGGGATTTCGGAAAAAAATTGCTAAAAGGTTACAAAGTAGCGTTCATCCCACAAAACAAAATTGTCAACTATTTACAAACACTCAAAGATAGAAAAAAGACTGATGATAAATATGGAATTTACCAAATCAGTTGCAGTTGTGGCAAAACATATATAAGATAAACAAAAAGGAAATTTAAAAGGTGATATAATGATATAAAAGATGGCAAAACTATGTCCTCTACTGTAGCTGAACGTTTCCTGAACTGTTCTGGTAATTATGACTGAAAAAATGTAAAGATCTTAAAAAATGCACAAACAACCATATAAAGGAACTTAAAAGAGAGTATTTATATAATTAAAAACAGATGTGTGTGTGTGTGTGTGTGTACAAATAGAGACAACGCACCAATCAACACATCCTATTAGGATACTTGTTTATCTTATGCATTCCCTCATTTACAGTTTATAGCTGAATATATGCTAAGCTAATACTGTAGATATTAGCCCTGATGCTGGTAACTATGTTACCGAAACTAGTCGTCTGTAAGTATTTGTTTGTTTGTTTATAGTTAAGCACAAAGCTACACAGTGGGCTATCTGTGCTCTGCCCACCACGGGTATCGAAACCCGGTTTCGAGCGTTGTAAGTCTGCAGACATACCGCTGTGCCACTGGGGGGCGTCTGTAAATAATGATAAATGTTTTACCTTTTACTGTGCCAAAAAATGTCGGTTGTTGTGTTTTTTTACTCTTAATATTTGGCATTGTTTTTGTTGGTGTTAGTAACGGTCAAGTATTATTGTTGCTAGTAACAGGGTTGCAGTGTTTTTCTTTTAGTTGTTTGTTTTGTAACCCTTTTGGTTTCAATTATTTACTTCATTGTATGGAAAAAAGCAGGTGGGTACTGTTAGGGGTATTAAATTATTAGCTACTTGACAATTTAGTAGTTCTTGCTAACATAATTGCCGTACTTTTATCATTTCTTTTATTATCTTTTCCCCCATCATCACGAAACACAACTTTCTACAAATCATTATTACTGTTCTGCTCTTACCTCCAGCACCATCAATCTTGCTCTAGATGGAAAAGATTCAAGAAGTTTGTAGTTCAATCATCCTTGTCATTTCGTAGGTCCACGAAGCTGATGCGTGTCTGGTGTTGGCGAACAAGTACTGCCTGGACCCTGATGCTGAAGATGCGGCAAACATCATGCGTGTCATCTCAATCAAAAATTATTCCGATGATATTCGAGTCATCATTCAATTGATGCAGTATCACAACAAGGTATTATATCAAAATTAATTGCTGAACGTAGCTTCAAAGTATGTTCGCGATTCTTATATCTTTAATACTTCGACACATAAACGCGTACGCTTTGCTTCTTATTTGATATTTATATATATAATTACGTTTTAGTAAGTTATTGTTTTTTTTTTCATTTTTCGTCAAACTAATAACGATTACTCAGCACTTCTTGCGATCATCCTCAATCAGTATGTGAAATTTTAAGATTTTTTTCTACTAAAATATATTTGTATGAAGTCAAGAATCAACCTGTTTGATATTAAGCACAAAGCTACACAATGTGCTATCCGTATTCTGTGGCCCTGGCATGTCCAGGTGGTTAGGGAGTTCGACTCGCAATCTGAGGGTCGCGGGTTCGAATCTCCGT